GGGGGGGGGGGGGGAGGGGGGTGATCCCCGCTGCCCTACACTGCCCCGTGCTGGGTGGGGGGCTCTGCCACAAGCCCCCAGAAGCCCCAGTACAGCAGCTGGTCGAGTGGAAGCTTTTTTTAAAAATTTTTTTATTTTTACTTTTTGGGGGGAGCTGGGGCTGGGCAAGGCAGTCATGGTGGAGTGGGGGAAGGTTCATGGTAGAGCCCCCCATGCAGCATGGGGTAGTGGGGGGGCAGCAGGGATCACCTCTTCTTCCCCCACCTGGCAGAAGCCTGAGGTTTTTCATTTATTTATTTTTAAAAGAGCCAGGACCTGAAGCCAGGTGGGGCAGCCATGGTTCCCTCCCCACTCTTACCGGCACAGAGTCTGGGTCCAGCTCCCTGCGGCAGCAAGCAGGGACTGCCCAAATCTCCGAACCTCTCAGAATCTTTTTCAAATCAATTCAGACCTTTTTACTGGTTTCCCGATTTGATTCGGATTCAGACATTTCGGCCACTCCAGAGGTGGAGAAGAGCAAGCCGAATTGGGCTGAACCTCCTCCAAATCAAATCAGACCCTGAAGCTTTGTACACCCCTACTAGCTACACATTTCAGTCCCAGCATGCTTCCAGTTGGAGTCCTCTGGCCATGAAAGCCCAATGGCACACACCAATTAGACCATACTGTCATCCCTTCAACAGTGTCAATACAGCATACTGCTTTGTGAAGTTAAAAAAAAAAAAGTCACTTACTTTAAAAGTTTAACGTGCCACTCATACAGGCTGTCATTTACAAGTTCCACTGAATAAATCCCTGTGGAAACATCAGAGAAGTAAAATTTTCTTTCAGCAATTGACTGAATGGTTTTTATTAATTTTTTTAAAACATTAGAATCTTTTCTCTAAGTGCCTTTAGCACAGTCTATAAATAAAAGCAGTGGTTAATCCGCTATATGCATGGATAAGGTACTGGTATCAAGCTGTACACCTTCAGGAGAAGTGCAAGAAGGTCATTAGTTTAACTCTTAATAGCATCAATGGAAGTACCATTTGAATCCAGGGTGTCCTATGGTCCCATTAATAGTAGATTTCTGCCACTTCAATTCAAGCAGAGCAGTAAGCAGTCAGCAACTGCACCAAGATAAGCAGCTCAGCAGTAAGACTGCCTTGAGGCTTTCCTGGGAGCTAGTGACTTTGGGTGTCTGATTTGTGCTTGAGTTTGCATATTGCCTGGTGTGTGGTTTTTCTAGTGTGGCTTTTTTTTTTTCCTTCTCCCACCCCCTCTTTCTTCTCCACCTCTGGAGTGACTGATTGACAGGACTTGGTCTGTCTGGGCCTGCTTTATCTAATTAAGGGGTGGAATGAGGCTAGGCAGTTCCCAGCAGAGAGAGAGAGGGAGAGACAGAGAAGCAAACAGATCCAGGGAGCAGGAGCCTGTGTGGGTGTGCACAAGGCACCAGGTGTCAACGTTTTGTGTGTGGGTTTCTGTTCAGTGGGTTTGTTTTCAGCTTAGGTGTCCTCCAGGGAGGAAAGGAAGCACAAATGGAGGCTGGGTCAGCAGTTGTGACCTGCACAGGATGTGCCATGTTTGCCTCCCTCCCAGAGGGTCAGGACCACTTCTTTTGCACCAAGTCTAAGTTCACGTGTGCCCTGGAGGAAAAGATTTAAAGGTCTGAAGCATGGGTATCTATATTACAATTACATCAAGAAAAAGGAAGAAGATTATTTAGACAGGAGTTATGAGAGGTTGATACTGGAGAGGCTAAAGGGAAATGAAGAGACATGGCAGCATATGACTACTTGAAGCAGTGCCCCCCCAACCAGAATTGAAGAGTGGACTTAAGTCAGCAACTGCTTTCAAGCACTCTGTGGTGGAACAGCTGAGAAGTCGGACCAGAGGACATCAGCAGGCATGATG